AAGGCTGCGAGTGGCTGACACGAAAGGATGCTCGGGGACAGGCTGGTGAAGAAAGCGTCCCACGGAGTTTTCCCTGGTCCGGAATTCTTCTTTCTGATACCATAGAGTAGTTCTGTCTTCTCTTGGGCTAATGGGGATGACTTCCATTCTTAAGTGACATGAGTCTGTTGTGAAGGGATGTTTGAAATGTGCTATCAAAGTGGCGCATTCTGAAGAGGCAAGTAATGATTATGGTGACAGAATATAACACGGCACCAGACATAGCTGTTAGAAAAGCCGAATAAATTAAATCTCCACCTTGAATTTCAGAACAAACGTTTCAGAGTGTCTTCGATACATCCATCACCTGTTTTCACATCCGCAGTGGGCATCAGTTAGTTCTAAGAGTCTTCGTATTTCCAAAATAAAAGACTATGTGTATTTATATTTAAAATGCAGTTTAGAACTCATTAAAACTTTAGTTAGAAATACTTTCATGCAGTTCCTATGAGTTTGTCCTATTTTTAAACACTTTATGTTTTCTCTGTGGTAGTGTGGGGTTTATTGAAATCTACACTCTAAAGTTGTCTTTAAAACTTTTAATTATTGTAGTAAGGAGTTAAGAGTTGCAAGCTAATTAACACTCAGCAAATATATTTTTCCTTAGATAATTACTAAGTCACATCTTTTCATCGCAGAAAGAAACTTTAGAGATCACTGTGTTCATTGAGAACATGACTGTCTTACAAGAAGAGTGGTGGGAAGAGAAAGGTTTAAGACAAGAGGATTCAGTGTGTGGCATAGACCACTGTGTGACTTGTCTCCCTCTGCTTAGTGTGACAAATCCAGTTTAAGCAGTGTATGCAGAAAATCCAGCCTAGTGTCTGACACATTGTTAGCAAGCAAGTTCCAGAGAGGAAGGGTGACCTGCTTTAAGGTCACATGCTAAAAGAAGGCCTGTTTTTGAAGAGGGAAAACATTTTATGTGTGCCTCCCCACCCCCATTGAAGCTAAGATAAATTCCTTTTTTGAGAATCGGGTAGTTGATGCAGCTTTCATGGATAACATTCTTTTTTAAGACTAAAACTTCAGTGAGTCATTATATAAGAATTGCAGTTTTTAAGTAAGCATTTGCATATACTCTGGTGAATTGCTGTGCTTGGAGACTACAAATTGTTATATAATAATAGCTTGTACTTCATGGTCTACCACTTGTTTCCACAAACTTACTTTGTTTGATTCTTTTTAAAGCTTTCACAATCTTGCTTCATTGAGGCCTGCAAGTTGCAAGGGAAACAGTCATCAATTTGATGCTCTCAGCCCAAAGCTGGTACAGTTTTGAAATTTGTTTCATTTTAGTGCTTAGTTTATTTTCATAGCCTTGATTTAATTCAGGCCTTTCTGACTAAACAGTTTTGCACCATGGGCACTCAGTAGCTATTTTTCAACTTACATTCTACTTCTAGTTTAAATCATAGGAAAATAGAAGGATGACCCAACACAAAAACAATCTTATGTTGCTTTCAGTGTTTTATATGGACAAGTATATCACCTTTTAAATTAAGAAAATAGTGGCTTGGTGTGTAACTCAGTAATAGAATTCTTGCCCACCATGCTTGAGCCTCTGGCTTCAATCCTAACACACAAAAAGTGATTTAAGAGAACCATGTTATTTATTTCTCAATAACAATATAATGGAATCAGCATTATATGAAGATAAGTAGAAACTGTGCTGTAAAAAAAAATTCTAGCTAGAGACCAGATGTGGGATAATTTAGTAGATACACATTTTAAGACAGCAGATGCTTTTCATCGTTGTGCTCTTAGAACTGTGTCTCTTCACTTTCGAAATTTAACTCTGCTGTCAAATTATATCAGTTCTGTGTCTCAGAATTCTACATGGGTACTTAATTTTTTAAAAAGTCATTCAGTTTTTAACCTTCGTGTACCTAAGTGAAAAAAATCTGAACTGTAGACTGCATTGAGGGTGGCATGGTTAAAACAATGTGGTTTGGTGAAAATTGCATTAAACTGAGTATGTAGGAAATTAGGTGCTGTGTTGATTATGTCAGAACCTATTTGGACAGGTCATTCCGTTTGGAGACCTGTGATTTCGCTCTTTAGTTGAGAGATTGGATGAGATCATTATCTGTTCCAGTTGTAAAAATTAAATACATGTATTCTGTTGTTCTCCACAGGAAGTTTAGAAGTTTTGAGACAGTAGTCATAATCTCCCAGGAAATGTAGTTGGGTAGGCAGACCCCAATTTACAGATGCTAACCAGTGGTCATGAAGTTTGGTTTGCCAGTATAGAGCTGGGAATTTGGACTTTCTCACTCATGAGTCCTTTGTTCTTTCCTCTAGATGTACAGTGTCACTGCAGTGCTCCATAATGGAACCTTATTCTAGAAATGAAGATGCAAAAATACCGATTCCCTTCATAGGAGTTGATTCTACGCATCTAACATTTCCTTCTCTATACAGTATGCTGAGGCTCAATGGAAGAATCCTAGGATTAGTTACATTTTCAGACTTGTGATATCAAAGTTGTAGATGTGGTATAACTGTAAGCCATAACTTGACAGTTCAGTGACTCACAGCAGCTCCAGTAAGTGGAGGCAAGGTTGAAGCTAGGTGCCAAATAAATTCACTTTTGTTGGTTTGAAGTATCACTGGTGAATAATTGGTGAATAATTGCACTTGATCCTCTGCCTTATGTGCTCTTCCTCCAAAGCATCATATGACTGGTTATGTCTCACCATTCGAGTCCCACCTCAAATGTTCCTTCCCTAAAGAAGCTTTCCCTTTAGGGAAATAACAACTTAACACTTTGTTATTTCTGCTGTCCTTCTTGGCACTTCCCTGTAATTGTATTGTGTATCCCTCCCAGACAGGTGTAAAGTGTTTTATTTATATTTCTAATCCCAGTGCATAGCACCTAAAGGTTCTCTTTAAGTATTTCTTGAGTCAGCAAATGAAATGATCACAGCAAAAGCTATGAGAATTCAACACGCATCTGATTTTCTTATATGTGGTAGCCAAGGGTTAATTTATATAATTTGCCTAAGCCAGCATTTACACAGGAAATGAGATCTGGCTGTAGCCAGTCTTGATTGCCTCCTAACCCATGTAACTTAGCAAATACTTAGATGTAGCAGGGGTAAAAGACTCTGTAAAAGCCAGGTACTATGAGTGAGTCAGTCGTTGGTGGACCTTCCCATAAGTACATAGACTGTATTTATAGGGTTACTCTGTAAAAGAGCCCCAGAATATTGACCACAACTAAGGATATTGGACATAGTTAATCACTCTTTATGTGTGTGCTTATGTTTTATTGAAGAGGCACAGAAAAGGTTTTGTTTTTAAAGCTAAACTATACTACAGTGAGACTTACATACAAAGAACTTTAGCAGTGACCAATAACTATTAGGCAATAGATTCTAGAGGAGAGCCTAAAATTATAGAGCCTGAATAAACTGAGTCTATGGTTATGGATATTCAAAAATAACCAGGAAGTTCTTCTATATGAAACTGGTGGCCACTGATCTCATAGAAATCCAGAGTGGTTACAATAAAGAAGTGGCTACAGAGATTATTTATGAACAGATAGTCTAAGCATATCATTTAAAGGAAAGGCTCATTAAGTGGGTCAGGTGTAGTGTTAGTTGCTTCCACATTATTGTGATAAATTATGACCAAAACCAACTTAAAGAGGAATTGATTTTGGCTTACAGTTCTAGAGAGAATTAGATGTTGATGGTGAAGACTTGTTATAGCAGGCTTTAAAAGACCAAAGGAAAAAAACCCAAAGCTTCACTTTTATGTTATCAAGTCCGTCTTGTCAGCAGTTCTACTCTGTGACAGTTTATTAATAGATATTGAGGCTCTGAATAGTTGGAGACGCTACGTCCTAACTAATGAATTTAGGATCTATGCTTGTTCTGTCTTGTTCCAGATTTCTTGCCAGAATGATAGCAGCATAGCTAGGGGTCCATTCACACAGTGCATAGAACAGAGCCAGACCAAACTGAGAGCCATAGTCACTGAACTAAATAAATGGAGACAATTAAAATACATCACCAAATATTAAACTAAGAGCACAAGAGTATACAGCCTGTTCCACTAGTTTAGTTTAGGTGTTTAGTTGTTGGTTTTTAGTCTTATTTGTGTGAAGGAAAGGAGTAATGTTTATTACTTAAGGAATTAGGCTGTCTGTGTGTGTGTTCACATCTACGTAGGTAGGTACACCTGTATACATATTTGTGGAATTCAGAAGACAGACAACCTGTGTTCTTCCTCAAGTGCCATCAACCCTCTTTTAAGACAAAATCTCTTCCTGGCCTGAAACTCACCAAGTGACTAGCCTGGCTGGCCAGTGAACCCCAGGGATCTGCCCATCTTTGCCTCCCCAGTGCTGGAGTTATAAATGTGTTCCACTACATCAAATGTTTTAAATTTAGCTTCTAGGTTTGAACTTGGGTTCTCATGCTTGTGGAGCAAACACTACCAACTAAGCTATTACCCCAGCCAAAGAAATTAATATTTTAATTGTTTTTTGTGTCCTTAAGTAGTAATTGCATGATGATATTCTATATACCATCTCTCATTTATTCATTAATTTCTTAATATTAATTAATTGAATTCAATTTGAATCTGTTTTATTAAGCTAAATTCATAGTTTGAAAATAAAAGAGCTAAACCACAGGAAAAAAAAAATGCATGCAGCAAGAGAATCCAAAACATTTAAATTTAGAAAGAAATGCTTTTAAAATCAGTGTCTTTACATTTCTCTATTCTGATTTTACAAAGAAGAGATTATAAAACATATCTGAAATTTATTTGCAGGTCCACCATTTTTAATTATCATTTGTGATGGTATAGATATTTGCAATTTTGACATTTTCTCTACATTAAAAAAATTGCTTGTTGTGGAAAATAGTGTGTTCATGATATTATAGAAATTAAAATTGATATCAAAATTGTGTTATTCAATTATGAATACAGTCAGCAAAGCTTGTTTTATTTTTTTGAACTTGAACCAGAAATGAGGTAGCAAATAAAGTATGACTTTTATTATTTTGTCATTGTCTCCCTCAGTTTATCACTATATTTCAAGGGTTGCCTTTTGTGTCACTCTTTGGGTTACTAACTGCAGTTTGCAACATTGCTTGCCCTTCTAACAGTGGACATAATTTTCTTTTATGATTTTGGTTTGGTTTTTCATGGTCCAGGCAAACTAGTTTCTGTCATGAAGATCTGACATTTTATATTCTCAATTAGTACAGAAAACAAAATTTGCTACCAAGCTATTGACATTAAAAAAAAGAATTTATTTTTTAATTCTTCCAGTTGTGAAAATTTCCTCCATCAGCGAGGTGTTGTTTTATATTAATCAGCCTGATTATTTATTTAATGTGTTACAAGTGTTTTGCCTGCATATATGTCTGTGCCACATAGGTGTCTGGTGTCCACTAAGGTGAGACGGGGCCTCCATTCCCCTGAGACTGGAGTTATGGACCTTTGTGAGCCTCCATGTGGATTCTGGAAATGAAGCTTTTGAAAAAGCAGCCAGTACTGTTAGCCCCTGAGCCATTTCTCCATCCCTGGAAGTACACTATCTTAACTACTTATTAGTCCTATAATGGCAATAGTCTACATGTTGTTTTGATCTTTCCGAGTAGTAAACAATACTCATTCTGTTCCATGTATGTTGTGGGATGTGTGGCCCTTTATAGAACAGATAAAGAGACAGTGTGTTAATACAATGAAAGATGGAGTAACAGCTGACATTAGCTTGTGGTTCTTTCCTTGCATCTGATTAAGGTTCAAGTTGTAATAACTCTTTCCAAATAAAACTTTCCTAGAATGTGAGGCTTGGAATTAACTAGAATAAAGTACATATTTCTGATACTCAGGGCTATCTCTTAACTATAACCCCCTGTTCAAAAAGCAAATTATATACTTCCAACATACAGTGGCACAGAATGGTATAATTTCAAAATGGAGGAAAGGGGGCATAGTGAGGAAATTCTGGAACAAAACAAAACTGAAACCCAGCAAGGAAAACTCCAAAACCTATAGCACCATGTTTGATGTCAAAAAGCTTAGGTGGCTCTTCCAATCTCCCACTCTTTCTTGGGCTGTCTCCACTCCTGTTTACATTTCTCTCCTTGGCAGTCCTCACACAGCTCTTGCATTTCCATCACGATATAGGCTACACTTTCACAGCTTCATGCAGTGGCCCTCCATGCAGGGACTCCCCTGTCACACACCTGATGTTAGTGGCTTTCCAGAGGATGATTTGTGTTGTTCCTGACTTAAATCCAGAACACTGGCTGAAGCTGTCAGGTTGGGCTCCAGGCTTGGGATGGAACCTGGCCCCCTCCAAGAATTAAATTTGTATATGCTTTCATGTTTCTCTTTGCTGAATATTATTTTCTTAGCTTTAGAAGAAAGCTTATTGGTCATTTTCTTTGTCCTAGTTGCAGAATTCGCTGAATGGCGTCTTACCTTGAGGGTACTTTATTGCATTCCTAATCAGGCCTCCCAGTACAAACCAAGCCTCCAGCATTATATTTCCTCACGCTCTTTTTTTCCCTTCCAACTGCATTTTGTATTTCTCTTTGCCCTGCTTGTTCTTTTTCATTGGGGATCTGATTAAGAGTGGTCACTGGTAACTACACAACTGAGTCAATACTAGATAGTCTTGAAATCTCTTCCAGTGACATTAGTCCAAAACTCTTCAGTTTAACCTCAGGCAGTTTCTTAGGATAAAGGCAATCCAGCCATATACTTGGCCAGAATATCACAAGAATGGCAATTTATGAAAGAATGAGTTTATTGGGTGATTTCTTACAGTTTTAGAGGGTGATTCTATCCTGTCAGTGGCGCTAGAGCAGTAGCCGAACAAATTTGAGGCAGAGAGAGAGTGAGAGACTGGGCCTGGCATGGGCTTTTGAACTGGTGGCACACCTCCTCCAACAAGGCCACACCTCCTAATCCTTCCACCTACTAGGGACCAAGCATTCAAATATATGAGCCAATAGGCTAGGCTATTCTCATTCAAACCACCCCAAGTACCTACTGCTTGTAAAGGCAGTTTACAGTATATCCTGAGCTTGGGCAAACACCTGATTGGGAAGATGATTTGGGTGTATAAAGTCATGAGACTAGAGCACAAACTGGGAGCGTGGGGGGAGTTATAGGCAACAAAGACAAAAGCTAAATATAGTAAGATCTAAGAGTTGGACAAAGGAAAAAGAATTGGTGAAGAAGACTGAAATGGAATTGTTCTCAATTAGTCTTTTTAAGATTTTTGGCTTCTAATTTTACTATAGACAAATGAACATCTTTTTATATGTGTCAGATTGTTTGAATTCATTCTGCAAGTCAAATTGCTGTGTCAAAATGATCACACTTGTTTATGTGTACCTTGATACACATTACTGTCACCTGGACCCAATCATCTGCTTCTCCATGCCTGGCAGAATAGTGCCCCTGTCTGCTGGGACCTCAGTTGGACTTTCAGCAAATGCCCAGTCATTCTCCATGTGGCCTTTTTGTATCAAGTGGGCCTTTATCTCATGATGTTGGCTTCTAAGAGGAAGGAAATGGAAGCTGCTAACACTTGTGCTCTGGTTCTGAAGGTTCCAGAGCATCCACTACATACTAATAAAAGCAAAAGCAGTTCTTGACAGACTTGATGTAGGAAGAAGTTGTGAACTCCTCAGACAAGGAGAAAAAAGACTGAGAACAGCCATGTTGGGAGATTCCTTTCCTTTATGAACAAACTTCTGCTAATCCAATCACTCTTGTTATGAAAGGGTGGAGAGCTTGTAAACGTCCCCTCTCCGCAGTTAACCTGGTGAATGTGCTACTTCAAAAAGCAGATGCTTGTTTAGGTATATCGTATTTCTCACTTCTGACAGGATTCTTCAGTGTGATGCTGTCAGTTTAAAGAGCAACATTCAGTTCTCCCATTTATGCTGCGAAAAACAAAAAAACAGCAGCTGGATATACAAGTTACTCAAGAACTGTTTCAGGAATAAAGAAACACAGTTTGTAATTCAATTGTAACACTGAAAAAAGGCCTTTCTTCCTGCTTACTGACTCGGGTCTTCCCCTTGACTGCCATAGATCTCAGAAATTCATCTGTGCTTTGCAGTAAGGTCTGTGGTTGATCAGCTCGCGTTCCATTTCAGGTCTCAACCCTCCCCTCAGTAGCCTCTTCCTGTGGTCAAACTTTGATTTCACTTGTTTTGTTCCTTTTGCAAGACTTTTTGAGTCACTTCCATGTTCAACTGGGGCCAAAGAAGCTGGGGTAGGGCCTCCTCTTTCATCCTTGCCCCTTTTCTTCTGCCGTGCAGCTGCCCATGTTTATAGAGCACATCCTGTGGGGGTGTCTGTCCTGCTGATCTAAGGAAAGAAGAGTGTGGATGGGGAAAGATTTGAACTGCTGTCTACCATTGAATCTCCTAGCCTGTTCTGGAAAGGGAGGCTAGCGAAGTCTGCAGAATCTGTTCTTGTGCTTACCTTTGGCATTCTTAACCAGTTTAAAAGAAAAAGGGGAGGGGAGGTTCTAAGTGCTATTACTGTGTAGCTTTGCATTTCTTTCCCACCTCACTTTCATCTCACAAAAAGTCAGTTCTTACATAGTTTCTTCTTTTTATTCCTGATAACTAATATCTTTACTCCTGATAATGCCATATAAAAACATGAAAAGACTGTATGATATAAAGAAATAAAATTATCTAAGCGCTGGCTGCATGCTTATATCTATCAGATGTTTCAGTAAATGAAACTTTGACATCTTGCCTTTCTCCATTATTGAGGACCCGTTAATTAACTGTGTATGTGAAGTAATTTATGACTCAATGAAAATGGAAATTTCTTGAGACCATGGGTTCTCAGATGTGAATGTAACTGTTTTTATATCAGATTGTTTTTATTTCTCAAAGCAAAAGAGAGTTTATCATGTATCCATTTGCTCATGTTTTGTTCCCATCACTTTAAGTTGAAAGCTCAGTCAGTCATCATTTCATCACTAGGTGGCACTTGTGAATCACAAATAGTCATGCATACTTGACACAGTTATGACAACTGCATAATCCACAAATACAGATAACATTTGGGATCTGACGTTCTTTAGAATGCTAAATACTAGTTACTTTGATTATCTGCGGGTATATGGTTGGAATGTATTAAATTGCTTTATAATCATTCATTCATAATTGGTAATGTCATTGGTAGACTGGCCTGTGTGTGTATCATCATAGTTTCTTATGATCATGAAGTTGAAACCTGTTTGCTGCTAATTTCCTGTGTGAAAAATGATTGCTTCAGTTGCTTACACTGATTCATAGCCACGCCTGAACACTTAATGTTTGTGAGTGCCTGATTCTGTGACCCCTACAGATAAACTTAACTTAGGAACTCTGTAGATACTCTCTAAGGAAAATAGAAGCATCTCTGCTTTACTGCCAAGAAAAAAGGCCAGATGTTAGTTTATATGGCAGTCAGAGTGAGCATAGTACCTAGCATAAAGAGTGAGTACATAGGCAGATGCATTCAAACTCAAGCCGGTTCCCCAGTCTTGTTAAAGTAACTGGGCTGTGAGTATAAATCACCAGTGCTGGTTTCTTGTTCTTGTTGAGACTTGAAGAACAAGACAGTGGGCTCTCAGTGCCCAGTACAAGGAAATGAAGTGTCCAAAAGAGCCTGGATACTTGGGACTTTATCTAGAGACAGCCTGGTTACCTTTAATGTGATAATTACTTAGCAACATACTTAGAAGGTGGAAGATTGGAGATGATGGTATATAACTAAGCCATTCATAGTAACAGTCTGTTTTGATGTGACAGCTATCAAGCTAATTTTTAGTTTTGTTTTCTATTGTGTTTTTTAAAAATATAACAGCTTGACAAAGCATGTAGCCATATGATAGCCATTAGTTTTAGCAATAATATGGCATATGGTTGATCTGTATTTTATAACTTTTTTTAAAAAGTTGCAAGCTTTTTGCCTATCATAAAACTCACCCATGTGAAGTGTGGTTTAATGACTTGAAAATTTACCCAGTCGTCAGCTATCACAGTCAACTTTCAAACATGTCATCACCTTGGCAGGATGCCCAATAACCATTTACATTAATTACAGTTTTCATGCTTATCCCAGGGTAACCACTGATCTGCTCACTGTCTCTAGATTTTCTCATAGGCATTTTATAAATGAACCTTGAAATATGTGGAGGGTCAGGGGGTTTGTTTGTTTGTTTTACATAGTATACTGTTTTTGAGGTTCATCCATGTTGTTGCATGTAGCCAGATTTGTTTATTTTACTTGCTTAACAATATTTCATTGTACAGACAATAACACTTTGTGGGTACTTCGTAGTGAGTCTTTTATCATACATACATATCATTAGTCTTCATCCATCCCCTACCTCTATTTGGTTATTTGAAAGCTGGTTTTAATTTCTAAAAATACGGTTTTTTATCTTTCTTTCCTGAACCACTTCTATACTCGTTCGTCTTGCCTTTAATTTTCTACTATGATTAAGAAATTGCTTTATTTCTTCTTGTAATTCTTGTTTTTGCTTGAGAATTAAGAGGTTTGTTTCAAAGATTAAACCTGCATTTTATCCTCAGTTTCATGAAAAATGCATGCTTAGGAAATTCAGATAATGGTGGTTTACTGCCTGTTCATACTGACATGGCCTGCTTCTAATTTTTGGGTTTTTTTGTTTGTTAACTAAGGTTGTCGGAAGAGGAGCCTTTGGAGTAGTTTGCAAAGCTAAGTGGAGAGCAAAAGATGTTGCAATTAAAAAGATAGAGAGTGAATCTGAGAGGAAAGCTTTCATTGTGGAGGTAAGCTGCAATGTCACATCTGTCCGGTACTCCTTCACCAGACACTGATCTTCAGGGGATAAAAGACGGTGTTTCTCAGTTTACATATTCCTGTGTACATGAACCTCAGCAATTTGACTGAGCTGAAGCTTGTGCCATGGGAATATGTTTTTCATCCATGGACTCCAAATCTGTTTCAAGGTATTGTATTTTAATTTTGAAATGCTATTCTTCCCCATTACCTAAAATTAAGAATCTCTTCGAATGTTGTAGAGATAGCATACCTTTCTAGTGAGAAACTACTCAAGCCACTTAGAGATTAATAAAGGCAAAGCTCTTTACTGAAAAAGCAGGGCCAGCTGTGGTAACACCCGAAGAGGAGCCGGCCTCAAATATTTTTACTAACTTATATACACAGTAGGCTTTCTGCATTTCACATATGCTGTCATCCTTAAATCTCTTTTAGGTCCCAGATCCAGGTTACACCTTAAACAACTTAAACAAAGACAGGAGTTTAAATAAAGATAGGAGACTGCAAGTCTGGCCGCTTATACAGATGGGAGCTTTACACAGCACCAGAATTCTTTCAAGTACACCAGTGTTTTTCATTTCAAATAGTTGTTATCCAGGGTCATCTTGCCTGTGTGGCAGAATTTTGTTTTTCTCAAGAAAAGAACTGAGGGCTTTTTGGCAGCCTGTGACTGAACAGTGGTTGTGAACCTGTGCTGCCCCCTGAGCTGCCAGTTAGAGGTGTGTTCTTTGGGGATGGGCCTATTGGCTGGTGGATCTTGGTGAACACATGTTTACATCCAGCATTGTAAATTGTGTTTATCTCTAACAGCTGGTTAGCATACTATTTCTTTGGGGTATTTTGGAGTCAGCAATCCCTTAGCTAAATTCTACTTTGTGTGATTCCTATCTCCTAAGCAAGTCTAGTGGTAAATCCTTTGTAACATCAATTTTATTATTTGAGTTTCTTCTTCATAATGGGGATTTTGTGAAGTAAATCATGGTGCTTCTCTTGTTTTCATTGCTTGTTTATGATTTGGCTCTGTGTGGTGGGTCAGTTATTACTAGTCTCTAGCTTGTCTACTTCCAGATTGTATACTGTTGTATCATTTTAGATTCTCATCATCCTTCTGAGTTTGTGCCTTGTAAACAACAATAAAAATTTTTTACCTACTGTATAAGACTCAGAGAAAACAGGAATAAACACTTGTAACAATGTGCTATATGAAGTTCAATGTTGACTATACCAAGATGGAATATAACTATATACAATAAATACATAATAGTTTCTATTGGGACAAAAAATTCGTGAATATTGACTCTAAAGAAAACTGTGTAGTGGCATATGATAGAAAGGTTAAGAAACATTAGTGAGCTTGCGTGAGCCAGTAGCATGTGCCTGGAGAAACGAAGGAGAAACAGCAGGGGAAAGGCAGAAAAGAGGACAAGGGAGAAAAAAGCAGGATTCTGTCTTGTGAGAAAGATACAATGTAGAAATTTGAAATGTGGAACAGAGGAAATGACTATAGCCTCAGTGTGATTATTGGCTTAGGGAAGATTAAAACCAGAAGTTGGAGTCTCGGTCTCTCTCCTACCCCTGAAGGGCCCCCCTCACTTCATTTGTTCTAGGAATTGACTGTGGATTGAAACTAGAGCCTAAGGCATGCTAGTCAAGTGTTGTACTACATACAGCTCTCTGTAGTAACTCTAAGAGAGAAAATGGAATTGGAGGCAGCTATTCAGGAAGAATGTGTATTTCATGTCAGATAAACTGAAGTTCAAATCCTGACTGTAGAATCTTTAACAGCTGTTTTATTCTCTCTGGAATTTAACTTCAAGTTGTTGTCATATTTAAAATGGAAGTGATAGTACCCACCTTTCAGAGACAAGAAATCCAGGAGCATGTACCTATTAGGTAAATTGATCACCTGTAGCTCTAGTGAAAGTAACACAGCTTCTGGTATGGATAACTCAGTTAGTACCATGTCTGGGATAATGCCCTGACTTTTAGCAGCTAGTTTCTTCTATGTTTATCCTAACTTGTTCTTAGCTCCCATGATAGCAATTTGTGCATGGTTTAATGATTACTCTATCATAATAATATATTTGATTATGTCTGTGTTTCCACTTGAACTGTTGGACGGGGATTCCAGGCAGGCACTGGGGATTTCCATAGTGCTTGCTACTTGGTAAACAGAAGTTACTGAATGATTTAAACAGATGTTCTATATGACAGTAAGATTTGAACAGCATGGTAAAATAAGTACCTCAAGATCTAGCACTTTTATTTTTTAAGACTCCATAATCTGTTACAGCTCCGGCAGTTATCTCGTGTGAACCATCCTAACATTGTGAAGTTGTATGGAGCCTGCTTAAATCCAGTAAGTATCCCTCCTGTTGTTATCTGTAAGCCTGTAGGAAACAATGTGGCAAATGTATACAGTTTATATACTATACGAAGCTGTTTTAATCTGCTCTATCTTAGCTCTATCACACTTCTTGCATTTCATTTGTTTCTAATCTTAACACAACAGTATGTTGATGGGTTGTCTCAGGTGCCTGTTAGCCTTGGCTGTACCATTTTATACAGCTCCTTCATTTTGAGTAAATAACAACAGTTCTCAAAACTAATTTAATTTCCAGAACTAAAGTAATTTGTTTTTCTAAATTCTTTCCTTCCCCATGGACCTCAGTAATTGCTGGCCAAGAAAGATCACCTGACATTCCTTATGTTACCACTCATCTTATTTCCTTAGCTAACCTGACAATGACCAATAAGGGGCCATAAAAGGAAACTTTTCAATCCTTCCCTTTCCTCTTTTCTGCCCTGAAACTACCTCAGCTTGTAAGCAAGCAGTGAGCTCTTCCTATACTAGACCCCATGTGAATAAAAGCCTGTGCTGTCATGGAGTAGTATATATCTCTGAATGTCTGTCCTCCACACCAACCTACATTGCCAGTAACTCACCGTGTTATAAGACTTGATGTCCTAGAACATGGCTTTATTAGTACTGGAAAAAGTTCTCAAAAGGTCTTGTGATTCTATTTTTGTCACCAAAGTCTTGTGATCTATTTTAAAATATATCTCTACTCTTAGCAGGCACCTAGAAGACAAGTTCTTAGATCATATATATCCATTCCTTCTATAAGTGTCATTCACATAGTAATGGCCAAAGGAATCATTTTCAAGGCATTTAGACAGTTGAACTAAGTTATCTTCAGGGAGGGCCCAACAATGTCACTCCAGTTGATAATGTCATGTTTCCTTTAGGTATGTCTTGTGATGGAATATGCTGAAGGAGGCTCTTTATACAATGGTGAGTATCAGCTAAACCTGCTTTTAGCTAGTAGGTTGAAGCAATTGCAAAGTTTTTAATAAAAACAAAATTGTAGCTGGAGGTTTCTCTCCCGCCCACCAGTTCCTGAATAACCACTCTGAGACTTGATATTAATTATAAATATTTGGCCAATGGCTCAGGTTTATTATTAGCTAGCTCTTACATTTAAATTAACCCATTTCTATTCATCTGTTTATGGCCATGTGGCCCATGGCTTACTGGTAGTGCTCTGGCATGTTGCTCCTTGGGAAGCTGCTGGCATCTCTCTTCCAACTCTGCCTTCTTTTTCCCTGTATTTAGTTTTGCTTTCCCGCTCAGCTATATTCTGCATTGCTATTGGCCAAAGCAGCTTTATTCATCAACCAGTAAAAGCAACACACATTTTCAGCATAAAGAAAGATATCCCATATCACCGAATTACCTATTGTTTTTCACAATTTGCCATCAGAGTTCAGAGTTCATTTTGTTGTTTGGTCTTTTTCAATGTTAAGGACTTAGGGCAAGAAAGATGCTATGACATTTACATAACATTTTTCAAGTTAGCAGTATTTTTATTATATTCAAGGCCTAAAGTAACCATTGCTTTCTAAATTGATTTTAAAATATGTTCAGACATTTTTCTTCCTATCCCTTTAGTTTTGAGTCTTCATTTTAGAACTCTTTCGCTACACTTCATTTCACCATGCTTTGTTGTGCATTCTTTCAAAACATGAAATGGTGAAAACTCACATCACTGAACATTTTAAGTTGTTACTTTCTTAGTCACCTTCCTATTATTGTAACCATGACCAAGGTAAATTATTAAACTGTTTAACTGGGCTCTGCTTTCAAACAGTGTCGCATTGTGGTAGCAAGCACGTTAGCTGGGGCAATTGAGAACTACACCTTCATCTAAAAGCAGGAGACAGAGAACACACTGGGCATGGCTGAATCTTGAAGTCTCAAAGCCTGCCTCCATTGACATGCCTCCTCCTCCTAATCCTTCCCAAACAATTCCATCATATGGAGGCCAAATTTTTACACATCTGAATATGTACTGGCCCTTCTCATTCAAACCACCACAGTTCCCATGAAAGAAAATTTTTGTGCTTGTATTGCCCTTGTGGAACAAAGCTCTCACCCTAAAAATACTAACCTCATATATGTGTGAGTTGTCCCTGTAAGCTTTATAAAATTGAGAGCATTTACTTTTAGGTTACCATGATTTTACACAGACATTTTAGTTAGTCTCACTGATTTGTGTTCTTCATTGTTAATTTGTGTATCGTACTCTAATTTTATTTGAGCTAATTTTTAGCTACAATACACAGTACAGTTGTAAGAATCTGATATGGCCATCTTGTTTCACTACTGTTTCTCTATTCCACCATCATGAATAGGATTGCTTATAATTTATGTGATTGTCTGAAAGATACTCAAATTTTAAATGTATGGTAGTGTTTATTAATTTTATTTGAATTACTATATGGGAAGTATCTACTAAAGTTTCTTAAATATGTTATTGTTTTAATCTAGAAAAGGTTTAAAAGCAGGACTAGTTTATTTGCAAAAGAATACTCACTTGTGTGTCCTAATGGTGCCTGCATTTATATTGTTTCATGTTATATGCAATAAAGTTCTTTTTAGTTTGTTGTGCCTTTCTTTTGCAGTGTTGCATGGTGCTGAACCATTGCCTTACTACACTGCTGCCCATGCCATGAGTTGGTGTTTACAGTGTTCCCAAGGAGTGGCTTATCTGCACAGCATGCAACCCAAAGCTCTAATTCACAGGGACCTCAAGCCTCCAAAGTAAGTTTTAGTGGTGTGACCTGGCTTCTCTCCTCTTGCCATCCCTGTTCATCCCTAGTTCAAGGTAACTGTCACTCTTGACTTTCTCTTTTCTCTTCCATTTTTATTTACTTTTATTGTAAATTGTTTTTTACTTAACGTTTATCATTTAGCTATTTATCTAAACATATTTTAAAAAGTTGTCTATGAGGGATGTTTTTATTAACTCCAACTTTACATTATAATAATTAGAATCTGTTAAGTCCCTATAAGTCCCATTTTGTACTTGTAGTGTATAAAATTGCTCCTGCAATAGTTTTCTGAGAGCAGAGACAAATCTGACTTACTGTTCCTGCTGCATTCGCAACAAGAACAGGGTCTGCACATGGTAGACACTGTAGTACTGTGTCAGTGGTGTTCTTATTCTTAGAGAGAGCAAAGCATTTCTGAATCTGGGTAGAGATGTAAACAGCTCAGATTTCTCCATAGTGAGTGAGAATCCTGGCACTTAAAGAACCTCTAAAAAGTTTAGACAAGAATCTAAAGAACAATGAGACAGAAATTTTGTAATTGAATTACATTCATATGAAAGTTGAAATATGACAAGAATGTTTGGTAGTCTGGCATTGTAAATAGTGGCTTATCTGCTTATTGTTATCACATTGAATTAAAAGAGAATTTCCTAAATCTCTAATTAGAGTTTAAGTGGAACATTATGTACAAGAAGTTAATGAGATATATAGTTACAAGGAGTTTTCATTAATTTTCTATTGAATAGTTACTATGGTACGATTATACACATGTTATGACCTATCTCTATTTCTGTCTGTTATCAAACTAAAGTTTGTAAGTAAAAGGATACTGATTGGTAGTTGTATTTGAGTCATAGCACCTAGACAACTGAAGTTCTGAAACATCCCTAGCATTTATTAGGCTGTCATAACTATATGAGATTTCATATTCCTCTTCCCCCTCTTCCCCTTCTAAATTCATAAGTGGTATTGATATTAAACATTGAATGAACACATAAAGTAAGAACCATTGGTCTACAGGTACAGCTCATCGATAGATCATTCATCTAGCATATACAAAACCCATGGTTCAATTTCCTACACTGCAAAAGCAGAAAAACCAATACTGTGGTTTTCCTTTTGTATTGATCTATTTTACTTTATCTTCAGTTAGATTATTTGCTTTATTGTGTGTTGCTATTCTTTAAGAAATAAGTGTTTGTGATTAAACTCCCACTTCAGGACACCATAGTGTTGCATTGTAGAAAGGTTTTAAATCTGTGTCTAACTCAGCCAAAGGACATTTGGTCAGGAAATGTCATGGACCTAAAAATGGAGACATTAAAATTTGAATATGATGGTCTCCCCAAGTCCTCTGGGTTATGGCCATTTAATTTTTGCTGATATTCTTCCAAATTGTTAGGCCATTACAGTGCAGTGACCAAGTAACATTTTATAGAAGTATAATGATGGCATTCATTTATCTTAGCTTTTTCCAGTCCCACAATTATCTCTTCTTTTATTATAAAATCAAATTCTGACATTGTGACTTTTGAATTTTTTACAATAGCTTGCTGCTGGTTGCAGGAGGGACAGTTCTAAAAATCTGCGATTTTGGTACAGCTTGTGACATCCAGACACACATGACCAATAATAAAGGGAGTGCTGCTTGGATGGCACCTGAAGTTTTTGAAGGTACGGTCACAAAAGCATGATATGATTGGAAATCTGCTTTAATTATGTAAATCCAGGATGCATTTATAACACTATATAGAGTGTACTTCATAATTGTACATGAAAGGTTATTAAGTGAATATAGCCTAAGACCCCAAATTTTGTGGCAGAATTGAAATTGGCATTGTCTGTGGAGATTCACACATACACAGCCAGTCCTCATTGTTCACAGGTTACATAATTGGAAGCTGTCTACTTGCTAAACTTTAGCTGAGATGCTTCCACAACTGTTTCAGAAACCAGGTACTCATGTACAACAGTACACATTTTGAGTCATACCCTACACTCTCCAAGGTTATTTCCCTGATAAGGTAATAAGGGACTCTTTTGCAATTTATTCAGACCCTGCTTTCCATTTTTTGGTTGGTGGTCATGGTGATTATACTGTTAACACTATACCCAGGAGTAGTGCTGCCTAAGTACAAGAAGGCTTTGAATATGTGAGATACATGCAGATATATGTTAGAGGGTGTTCTCTCAGATGTGATCTAGAGTGCCATGAGTTTGACACTAATGAACTACTGAAGAGTTAGGTGGAGAGTCTTTTAAGACAAGGTCATATATTGATTAATTGACAAAATTGTCGTGAACAAAGACACATAAAACCTAGTCCTATATTTGCCCTAAGAGCAGTGGTTCAGTGATTATAGAAACTTGTTAATAGACTGTATATGCCCAAATTATGGAGAATCAACTGGGCCTTTGTACTGACTTTCTATCAGTTAAAAATTAAGAGCAATAAGGTTTAAGTGGGCATGCCTTAAACAGACTGCAAGTCACTGGGTGCAGATATGGTACTGAGATCCACTGGTAAAGGGTAAGCTAACATTTGCTTCTTTCACATCTCCATAGCTCACTCACAAGCCATAAGATTAGTCCATATATTTAAGTTTCTGTTTGAAAACATCAAGTTCTCTTTTAAATGAGAGACATGCATTTAAGAATCAGACTCTGCTTAGGGTCTTTGCTTTTTTTTTTTTTTTTTTTTTTTTTTTTTTTTTTTGCGACAGGGTTTCTCTGTGTAGCCTCTTCTGTCTGGTTACTCATTTTCACTCTGTAGACCAGGCCAGCCTCAAACTCACAGAGGTCTGCCTGCCACTGCGTCTTAAGTGCTAGGCCATCACTGTCAGGTGTGGCTTTGCTTTTTTCTTTTTTCTTTTTCTAAATGTTTTTGATGGTGAATTTTAAATTTGTTGTTGTTGTTGTTGTTGCTGTGTATTAAGCCACTCCCAGAGAAAGGAAAATGCTATGCAGCTTGTCACTTGACTAGCACTGTTGTTCCCTGAAGGCCAATTACAAACCGTTGGACTCAAGGCAGGCAGATCTCTTTCAGTTTGAGGCCATCCTGATCTACATAGTGAGTTACAAGACAACCAAGGCTATGTAGAGAGACCCTGTCTCAAAAAACAAACAAACAAACAAACAAACAAACAAACGGTATTGGACTAAAGATGTTTAATTACATAAAATTAAATAATGCCTTTCCTTTCATCTGGATAATGCAGGTGCCATTCCTAATAATTCAGTCACTTATTTAATGTATGTCACTTTCTGTGCATACAGTGGTACAATATTGTAGTAGATAAAACATGGGGGTTTGTTGTGCAGAGTAATCACCATCTCAACAGAGCCCAGACTGTTAGGTTATGTAAATTTCTGAAAGCTGTCATCAGGCAGCAGCTGTAGCCTAAAATAGATTGTTATATGGTGGCAGTTCTATATTATTGTGTGCTTCTTTCCATGCAGATCTGTCATTACAGTAATTGTGGTGTGAATTTTTTGTTGATGGTGGTAGTTTGGGGTATATATATTATGTTGGTGTATCCTCTATCATTGTAGTACAATTTTGTTTATAATCTGCTTAGTTTTCATTGGTCACTCATAATTTGAATCACTTAAATTGTCTTTGTGGTTTTTAAATTAAGGATTTTAACTATATTAAGGAAGAAGCCACTAAATTAGAGCAGTGCTTTACTCTGATAGCAAAGGATGCTGTCTGTCACAGGGCAGGAAAACTATTAAGGATAACAAGTTACAAGAGCTGGGTATATATAGTTCAGTCATCGAATATATGCTTTCTATGAAAAAGGCCCTGACTTCCATCTCAAAACAAGCACTCTTAAAAGAAGTTGAGGGGCTGGAGCAGTGACTTAGAGGCAGAGAGCCCTTGCTTCTCTTGCAAGAGGACCCAGGTTCAATCCCCAGCACCCACAGAAGGTTCACAAAGGTCTGTGACTTCAGAAGTTGGGTTCCCGATGACTTCTTCTGACCTCTCTGGGCATTGCAACACATGGTACACAGACATACATAGAGGCAAAAGATCATTCATGCACATAAAATAAAAACAAATAAACCTTTTTCAAAAAGAAATTGAAAACTTACAGAAATATAAAGGTGTTTTAAATTATGCCTGTAAAAGAGATCAGTCTGCACACAGAAGAAAAAAGGCCAATGTATTTTGTTGAAAAGGTAGAAAATTACTGGCTTTCTCATGTAGATTTTGAGTATATTATTTATATTTATTTCATTAAACTCTATTTTGAAAACATTTAAGAAAGTAATTGTTTAATTCTTCCTGTGACAGTCTCTTATCCAAAATATCCATTCCTTTAAAAATTTTGAAACTAGTTATTTCTGTGATTCCTGTGGAACAGGTCTCAAGATGACAATGCCTTTTTTTGTAGGTAGTAATTACAGTGAAAAGTGTGATGTCTTCAGCTGGGGTATTATCCTTTGGGAAGTGATAACACGCCGGAAACCCTTTGATGAGATCGGTGGCCCAGCTTTCCGAATCATGTGGGCTGTTCATAATGGTTTGTCAAAAGAAATTTTTCTTTAATATATTGTGTATATTTCATATTTGGAAAACTGCCCCCATCCTCTTCCCCAGAGACTATGTATATCTGACACTGAAATGTAGACTTATTTGTTACCAGACCACCTTACTTTAGCACTCTATATACCTTTGTCTCTGGTTCTGGTGGGGAGAATTTAGACTCCTCTGCATAGGCCTGAGGCTGCCAACTGCACTGATTAGAGAAAGACCATCAGTACTTAGCCAGCACCTTTATCTCTCTCAGGGCTAGAGAAGCACTGCGGCAAAGTAGATAAATGAAATCTCTCATATCGTTAAGATAGCTGGGATGCTAGGCCCCTTTCTCCTGGGAAAACAACTCTCAAGCAAAACTGCTGGTAAGAGTTGTTTCTTAAGCTCAAAAGGACACAATATTCAGTGCTGCACACATGTTTTAGTTGTATATTCTCAACCATGCGTACAGTGCTAACATCACAAGTAATAAGTGTTGGAGCTGGAATCCACATGCAGGTCCTTTGGATTCAAGTGCTCCTACTTTTCATCAGGGTGACTTAATGTTATGTCTCTCTGACTTCCATAAATGTGTTCAGATAGCTTCCTCACTAGTAGGTCCTTCACAGTTTCTTTGATAAAGAAACTCTATAAGGAACTACAGCATCACTGTTACTTCACGTGCTTCTAATCGTTCCAGTGAATAAGTGCTTGTATACTAGTCTACAGGTGATCAAAGAAAAAACACCTAACTCTTTAGAGCTTTTGTAGGCTGGCCAAACAAAACCATCAGAGTAATCTTGGCTGTTTTACCAGTTTCCTCTGCCAGCTTTGTTACATCCTATAGTGTCGTAGAAAATACAGGAGCTTTCCAAGACAGTTTGCTTCCTCTGGCTATCAGTTCTCAGCAAGTGATTGTCAGTGAGGTAACAGAGTAAAAGAACTAGCGTATTGATTGATTAACCTATAAAGATCTTACTGTATCTGGAGCCACTCTTGAGTGTGGGAAGCTTACCAGTGCCACTGCAGGGTTAATAAATTATAAAAAGTTGGCACTTTCTGTCCTGTAAAATAGTTAACTGCAACCAGTGAGTGTAACAGTACAGCAGAGGAAAGTTGGTAAGTATAACATTGTAGGTGAAGGAAGTCAGTGAGTGCAACAACATGGTTGAAAATGTCAGTGAGTGTGACACCCTGAGGGAAGTCAGTGAGTCTAATACTGGTTGGCTGAAGTAAGTTAAGTGTGATACCAGAGTTAAGGAAAAACAGTGAGTGTGACACCATAGTTTAGGAAAACAGTGAGTGTGACACCAGAGTTGAGGGAAAACTGAGTGTGATACCACAGCTGAAGAAAACAGTGAGTGTGACACCATAGTTGAGGGAAGTTGTGAGAGTGATACCATGGTTGAGGGAAGTCAATGAGCATTACACTGTGTTTGATCACTTTCTGTAAATGGAAGATTTTTTTTCAAATGCATTTAATATTTTATAATCTGAAAATTCATCTTTCCTCAAGTCAGCTACTTATTTTTCCTAATGCATGCATTTGGCCTTTGCTCTTTGAAAGAATGCATATGACAGTTTGGTTTGGGTTTTGAGACAGAGTCCCACTCACTATGCAGCCCTGTGTGTTCTGCTGGCCTCTGCCTCACAAGCACTGGTTAAAGGCATACATCTAGCCCAAGCAAGCAGTCTTAGTCTCACTGTTCTTATCACCTGTGTTACAAATTTAATGTAGTTTTTGGTATAGTTTGCCCTTTGTGAAAATATATATAGATACAATACATGGTAAACTAAAAGAGAAAAAATGCTAGTTCAGATATTGTTGGAAATAAACTATAAAAATCTTGCAGTGTTCTTTGGGTAGATAATTCTTTTATTCCTCTAATTTTCAATTATAGGTACTCGACCACCACTGATCAAAAACTTACCTAAGCCCATCGAGAGTCTGATGACCCGCTGTTGGTCTAAAGATCCTTCTCAGCGCCCTTCAATGGAAGAAATTGTGAAAATAATGACTCACTTGATGCGGGTATAACCCTTCTTTTGAGGGGCCTTGGGTTTGGGGGACTTTACTATATACTGAGTTTTATTTGACTTTTAAAATGAAAGAATGGGAACTATTTCCTGCATTATACTTTCCTGTGTTTTTAAAGTCAGAATAGGCATTTATTTATTTATTACTTGTATTATCAGAAGAGAAAACATTACCTTAGAAAAATGTTTGTCTCTGTAATGACAAGATGGCTAGACAGGTTTCTAGGATTGCTGTCTTTACTAACATTTATAGATAAATATTTGGTTCCAGAGTGTGTGAGAGATGCTGATATAGGGTATGTGAGGCTTGTCAGTGCCTACATAGATATGATTAATAACATGCTTAACTAAGTTTGTCAGATTTTCATCAAAATACAGTCATTTCTACAGTATGCTGGGGATGTATTTTAAGAGATGTATTTGAGTAATTTTAATGATTCCCATTTTGCCTTTTGATTGAATGTTTTCAGATGGCAATAAAATCTAAGCTTTTTCTAGGCTTGATGGAATCTTTTAATTTAGAAGAACCCTTTTAAAAAGCTAATCAAATTCCCTACTCTACAAATCTTACACTTTAGGGTTACTTCAAATATTTTAAGGTAATTTTTTCCTTTATTGAAAATAGGTTTTATTTTGTAACAAGAGCCATAAATGGTAGCTTTAACTTTGTACACATAAACTTTAAGTTATGTAAGTCAAATTAATAACTATTCACCTATGTTTTGTCTAATTTGAAAAAAATCTCACCCTAAATTTTATTTGTATTGTTCAGTAAATAATTTCAGTATTATGTCCCCAGTTCATAGAGCCGGGGGCTTCCATAAGGTGTGTTCTTAATCTTTAAAAATACTGGTTTAAAGGTGATTCAGAAGCATTCACTGCCAGTTATCAATATATGTCACTGTTCCAAGCCCAGTGTTCTTCCGAGCAGTGAGTCCTCTGTTCTGTATGCTCCTCTAGAGAGTTTCCCTTGCTGTCATCTCAGTGCTTGTGTAGGTACATGGCATTGTCTGCAGCTAGCTTTCCAAAAAGAGCACTATCACCTTTTTCTCTGATCAGAAACAGAAGTCATTCCACATTCAGTACAAGCCTGCAGGAAAGCAGGGCTGTGTCCACCCCTGTGTACCTTAAACTAAAGCAGTGATACAGATGTGCTCTTGTGTTCATGTAACAGGGTTTACCCTGTACTAAAGGCATTTTAAATTGTGACTTGCTTTTACTACAGTACTTTCCAGGAGCAGATGAGCCATTGCAGTATCCTTGTCAGTACTCTGATGAAGGGCAGAGCAACTCAGCCACCAGCACAGGTAAACAGATGGCATCAGAGCATCATCAAGATTTCCCCTCTCATGAAGTTTGTCATGAAAAAAGGAGGGCTGTCTACATTTACACTTTAATTCCTCATTTCTCTGGATTCACTGCAGTTTGAGTTGCCAGGTGCCTCCCTCTTTATGAAGCTCCTGCCATAAAGACCTGCTTCCATGTCTAGAGTTACTGCTTAGTTAGGACTAAAGGATTGAATATGACATTGCTGTGAATGCTAGTCTAATTTCATCTTTTTGAGATAGTCTCACTTTGAATCCAGGCCAGCCAATCACCATATGATTTAGGCTAACTTCAAATTCATGACCCTGTCTCAAAAACCTCCTTAGATCTCAGACTAGATACATGCCTCCACACCAACAGGTTCTCCATGGATGCTGCTGGGTCAGGCAGGTTATTGTGAACATTGGGTTTCCTCACCAACTCTGTTCTGCTCTTTGGTCTTTTTCAAAAGAGACTTATTTCTGAAACTGCTTTAATTAGAAGTTCAGTTTTCTGAAATATAAAGTAGAAGTACTAAGTGATAGTTTGAGGTTATCAAAAACAGAACTAGTATTCTAACTTAGAGAAATTGCTATTTGCAAAATATATGGCATTTTGTTATTTATTTAATTTCTTTTTTGTTATTTATTTAATTTCATCTAGAGAAACACATACATGTCAGTACATATGTAACCTGAACTTTAAATTTTCACTTTTTTCCCACGAATATGTTCATTAGTCTCTTTCCCCCATTTTGAGATGGTTTATTTGTTTTAAGGTTTTTGTTTGATTAGTGATGCTCAAATTCAGTTTTACTGAAAACCTTTTGAGTTTTCAGTGATTCTGCAGTGATCTTTTCCAGAACTCCCTGTGTTTTTCCTTTCTTTCATCTTCTGATTTTCAGTCCTTTCACTGACCCTCAGTTCCTGGAGATCCTTTTATCCTTCATCCCTCCACTAAACTTGGTCAATGATGATCCATCAGAAATCATACTCAATGGTGGAATTCCTCTCTCCACTTGCTTAGCTAAGTTATAGGCCTAATTGGCTCTCAGCTTCCTCCTTTCTCAGATGAGTGCTGAGTGTCACTGTGCAGTTATCATCTCTTAGACAACTTGCTTTAGACAGCAACCTCTCCCCTAAAAGCTCAGGTATCTTGCTAGTCCATGCTGCAGGCTGACCTTGTTTTCTGTTTAAGAATGTTTGCATCATCAGAAGATAGCTCCTACAAGGTCCCCATGTCTTTGTAGCTACTTGGAACAGTGCCCACCTTCTCTGTTTTCTGTTTTTTTCTGACTGCCCATGCTTCTAGTTAAAGGCAAGACTCTCTGCTTATACATTATACCATATCTACCCTTTGTGTCAGGTAGATAACTCTTCTCTCCCCTCATGACTTTTCGTCTTTCTACTGGGAACATTTCAAGAGCAAATACAGTCTGTATTCAGATGCACTGACTAACTCCCTTCTTCCCATTCTCTAGCATCTACTTCATTTAGACTTCTCTTATACTACTACTGCAGAATTATTCTTGTGGAGGTCACCAGTTATCTCTGTATAACTATGCAAATGAGTGGAATTTTATATTCACAGTTGATACTAATAAATGTTTGGTACATTCATCTTTCTCTTTATACTCTTCACTTGCTGTGCAGGACCCAAGACTAATCTGAATTTCATACTACATTTCTGGTCACTTAGGGGTTTTTGTTGAGGTTATTGTTTGGCTATTATTTTGCGAAACAAGCAGAACCTGAGACTTTGTGAATGTTAAACAAACACCATGTCTCTGAGATTGTCCTCAGCTTGTTCTTGGTTTTCTTTGCTGGTTGTTCCTCATTTCCTCAGTTATAAGGAGGAGTGCCAAAGACTTAGCCATTGGCTTGTTCACTTAGCCATTTTCTCCATCTCCTTGGTTACCTCTTCCAATATTAGGACTTTGTTTTCCTCTCCCTCTCTCTAGGCAGATTTTGCCTCAGGTTTATTTGTAAAAACATCATAGGGCACTGACCATCTGTAAATAGTGTGTAGGTGTGTCACATCAGTCCATCTGTCTTCATATTGACTGGTAGAAGCCTTTTCTATGGGGCCTTCACAAGGGCCCCACACCTTTCAGAGCCTGAGCTGGAACTGCAGCCTCAGCCTTGGTTTAAACCTGGGCTTTTGTTGGCAGAGCCTATAACCCTTAGCCATGTAGCTTCAGATCTGCTTCCCAGGCTTTGGGTGAGTGATGAAAGAAATAAGGCTGCATTTGTGGTTGGGCACCTTGGCTCCTTGGGCTTAACTGCCTTGGGTTGCACAAGGGCCTTAAGGGCCTCTGCGTGCTCACTCATCTTTGCATTGTTTGTCTGCATCTTCTTCAGGTCTTTCTTGTTGTGCTTCTTGACAAATCACATGTTCCTCAGAAACTTGGAGTCAACCCCTTAAGACACTAGTATCTTTGTGACTGGGTTTCTTGATGCTGTCCTGTGCCATTTCCAGGATTTCTTATTTGTGGTGTAGTTCTTGGACTTGCCCATGTCTTCACAGTAACCTGTGGCTCCTGAAGTGCCTGGGACCAGAAGAGAAAAAAAAGTGTTCTCATCTTATGCCTGGATTCTACCTTTGTTTATCCAGAACAGGATTTCTAGTAGGGACTCAAAGCAGTGCTTTCCAAACTTAGTTCTGGGTATGTCCTTCAAACTCACTCTTCTTCTTGTCTGCTAATAAGCCCCAGCTCTACTTCAGGGTTAAATCTTTACATTAGTCTCATTTGTTTAGAAGACTGACTGACTCTTTATTGTGCTCTCTGTAACCATCATTTAAAATGGACTTGTTTAGAGTGTCTTCATTGGTGTGGAAGTTTTTGCTTTGTTTTTATGTCTTGCCATTTATTGAATGAGGCATTCATATCATTCTCAACCTGAAGTCATAAATGTTTCTGCTTTCCTAGGCTCATTCATGGACATCGCTTCTACAAATACCAGTAATAAAAGTGATACCAATATGGAACAAGTTCCTGCCACAAATGATACTATTAAACGCTTAGAGTCAAAACTGTTAAAAAATCAGGCAAAGCAACAGGTTTGTTCTTTTTAAAAGTAAAATTGCATGGTTTCCTTACTAGTTGTCACAACATTATACAAATGGGTCAATTATTTGTCATGTATGTAACAATCCAAAGTTTTCTCCCTGCACCAGCCCAATGAGCTCATGGTGATAGACATGAAATTTTGTTGCCATTTGTTACCCAAACAAGTAGTTTCCTTTCTGCTTATTGTTGCTATTGCCAACACCTACCCCTTCCTTCATCTGGTCCATCCCTAGCTAAGGGTCCTATGCACAGTGTGAAATACATTTTGTTCTATGGGCTGGTTAAGAAGTTCTCATAAGACTCTCATTTCATCCTGTTCAGGTTGGTTGTATTGTGGTTTTTGTTGGTTAAAATACTTTGAGCAGCATGTGTCTGAGCTTGCTGTCCTCTGTTAGCTCCCTCCCATTGTAAAATTCCCTCTTTCAAAACAGTACCCTAGTCATAAAAATCCATCTGTCATCTTCCCCTTTGGCTGCTTTGGATCTCTACATGTGAAGAACTTCAGTAATTTATATTGACCTATAATTTTCACAGACTGAATCTGGGCGGCTGAGTTTGGGTGCCTCTCGTGGGAGCAGTGTGGAGAGCTTGCCCCCGACTTCTGAGGGCAAGAGGATGAGTGCTGACATGTCTGAGATAGAAGCTAGGATCATTGCGACCGCAGGTAAAAGGGGCTGCCAGTCCAAAGAGAAAATGCCTATGGATTTACATGATACTTGCAGTTGTTTTCAGTGGGGTATCTGGGTTTGTGTCTTATATATAATTTTTTAAGCAGATAGCAGGTTTACAGAATGTTTTCTAAACTTCCAGCAGTAAATTTGTACATTTGGCTCAAATTTTAAATAAGAAAAATATGGTTTAGAATTATTTGGATTATAAAATACATCTTCCTAGTTAAAATTTTATCAAATATATTTCTCCTCAAACTTAAACTAGCTCAGAAATTGAAATTCTGCTAATACCTGAATATTGCAGTAACTGAGTAATTTGCCATTGTTTTTATGATGAGCCCAGAAGCAAAAAAAATCATTGCAGAAAATTGTGCTCCAGGGCTGTGTTGTCATCCCTCTCTCCTACCAGTGGCAAGAATAGCCAAACTAGTTATAGTTTGCATATTTGATGGTAAAATGAGATAGTAGTAGTCTTATCGGACATTGGTTTTGCTAGTGTTTAAATTTCATTTTGCCAGCTCTTAAAATGTTACAATAGACAAAGTAGCTAGAATGAAAAAGAATTGTGTTTGGTCACCTGGTCAACTGGCATGGCACCTTTTCTAACCAGGTTTTATTTCAGTGGTGTGTATTTAGTTGGGTCTTATTTTGTTATTTTTGATTCTTCCAAGGTTAGAGAAGAATGGATTATAAAAATGAACATTGTACTAGAGAATGTGGAAGTGTAAACAAACAATAACAGCAAAACCCTACAAATTCTTCTCAGGATATTTTGGTCTCTCTGTATATCATTTAATTATAGATATAGACTTTGCTTAACTTAGTTATTTTCTAAGTAAAATATTCTGATTGTGTGTGTTCTCTTTGTAGAAAGTGGCATCCAGATGAACTGTACTATATTTGTCTAAACTAATCACAATCACTGAGTTTACCAACCTGCACTAAAAGCCTTTAGATAGGAAAGAATATCTCAAAATAACAGTGTCTAAACACTTAAGTTATGATCACACATAGACAAGTAGATATGTCCCCATAGTGATTAGGCAGCTGGTTTTCTGTATCTCTATGTCACAGTCTCTATTGTTTAACCCTCTGTCCTCAAGGTTACCTTGTGGTCCAAAATGGGTGTTACAGTTCTTGCTATCACTTCCACAGTTCAGGTGGCAGGAAAGAAGAGGTAACAGAAGAATGAAAGCTTTTGAAGACCTTTTCTACAGCTTCTACATGCATGCCATTAGCCAGATTAACATGGTCAGGTGACCTAGACTTACCTCTAGTAGAAGGGATCTATAATAGTAAAGTTAGACTCTATTGCTAAGGAAAAGGAAAAACTAGAGATTAGCTATCTCTTTCCGAGGTAAATGATCAGAAAGTGTCAAGCTGTGTAGAGGTCAATGGCCATCTACTAGCCTCAATGAAGCACAGTTGTCTCTGTGGACAGACACATATCCCCAACACTTCTGGAGAACCATTTCCCTTCACGGGTGTCATTTAAAATAGGATTCTGCCGTAAAAGGGAAAGTAATATTGTAATAGTTTATGCTTTCGCTAAGTCTATTTTTCTAATCAGTTGAAGGTTTGTATTTACATATTAAAGAAAAGACATTTTTTCCAGTTCAAGGATAATCATATACAAATAAATTAACTACTTTGTCCTCTCTATGTAAATGTAGGACAATACATCCTTTGAATTTTAAATAATTTGAATGTTTTTAATGAATTGTCTAACTGTGAAAGATTCATTCTCCCGCTTTTGACAGCCTTCATATTTAACAGCTATATACCCTAAACTTCGAAAGCTATAGTAAATGTTCAGTTTGTTAGAAATAATGTAGACGTTCTTAGGGAGATGATACACATTTTATGCTTTGACTTGACAACTATTGTTTAATCATGGAATTTTAATTTATAGCACATTCCAAGAAGCACCTAACTTCAAGAGCTATCTATTCCTGTTTGTGTCATTAGCACAAATCTGGCAGCCTACCTTATTAACTCCACTCGTCTTCCTCCCGTCCATCCGCTTCCTACCTTCACCTCGTGCTTCCCTAAATGTGAAACAACTGAGCATGATACATGCATGCCACTGAGGAGTGCACATGCTTAGATACCAGAAGGGAAATTTTTTTTTTTTGGTCCCCCCCCCCCCCCCCCCCCCTAATTAAAAACATTGTGTTTGACTTTTGAGACTGTTTTTTGCTCTTTCACAGCACCCACCTAAGCATGGATGAAAGTTAGATAGTTCTGCATGCCATTCTGCATGAGATGTAATTAACATGACTATTTCAGAACTGTTCTGTTTTGCAGTCATTTCCTGTGTTACTGTTTGTGGTTGTTTGCATGTATACTGTACATGTGTGTTTTTTCAGCCTATTCCAAGCCTAAACGTGGCCACCGTAAAACCGCTTCATTTGGCAACATTCTGGATGTCCCTGAGATCGTCATATCAGGTATCATAGACCACCTGTGTTGGTGTAACAGCTGTGGAACTGGATTAATGATCCTGGTACTTTTAAATGCTTCTTGCTCCAATTTTCATATGATCTGAAAATAGATATCTCACATACACTACCCAGGGAGACAGGTAGAAAACTGTATACTGCCACACTGAAGCCAGCTTGCACATGTAACTTACATCTCCAGTAAAAAGAGGCAAGTAAAATGAAAATAACACTTCACATAAGGGAGAGCACCACCCCATGTTTACCTCTTTTCTCTGGAAGCTGTACCTACGTAATCTGCACCCAGCAGAAAGAGGATATAGCTGCTTGAAACTTTTGCTGTCCTTGACTCCTTCCCTCCCTGTCCATTCTGTGTCTTTGGAGAGCCGATGGGCATGTAGCTAAAAGAAAGCTGCTGCACAGCACTATCCTGATCTGGAGAGCAGAGGGTTGAAAACAGGCAAGGCTTGCCATTTATAGGGTGCCTTGCCAGAAACAATACTAGAACAGCTGGTTAGTTCTGCTGGTGTGTTAAGAGGAAGGTCTACAGACTATGTGTTATACCTACTCACACATGATACTTCAGGGCATCAGTTGGTAAATGCTTTTAAATCTTATAGTGGTCTTTTCATAGGTAAATGAAAGCCATCATTTTTAATAAAAGCTTAAATGGCATAATAACCTTAATGATCATTAGGGCCAGTGAGGTGACTTAGCAGGTAAAGGTGCTTCCCATTCAGCCTCCTAACCTAAGATCAATTCCTAGGATCCATGTGGTGGAAAAAGAGAACAGAGTCCCAAAAGTTGTTCTCTGTTCTCCACATGCACCTCGCACAAACATGTATACACACAGGGACACAAGATAAATAAAGGTAGATTTTTTTTTTCATCTCTTGACCTTTATAGAGATATTTTTCACATGTGTGATTTAGGTGGATTCTTTAGCATTCTGTAAATTTGCCCGTGATAGTGCTTAGTTAGCATTGTGTTTAAACTGTAGTTCAATACCTAATTTTTTCTCTCTAAACTCAAAACTAAATGATAAGGACTATGAATTTGTTAATTACTATTGATTCCTGTCAGTAGTAATTGTCTCCATAGTATTTCCTGCACTGAACACACTATTTAATAAGTAGGTTTATTAAATGAGTAAGTCATTTCTAACTACTAGAAACTAGGGTACAAAATACATAAACTACAGTTTTATGGGCCATTTTGTTTCTATAAAACTAATTTGTACTAATTTTCTTTAATATTGAAGGTGATATCCTATTTTTTAACATTGTCACCACTGTTTAAATATTGTTAACATGTTTCTCATGTAGTAATTTTTGTTGATTGATGGCTTATTTAGAAATTAACAAAGTACTTTTGATTGTTTTATTTCTATACTGGTAGATACAATACGCTGGCCCCAAAATGGCAGCATTTAAATTTACATGGAGCTGTAGTAACATTGACTACATTACAGAATCAGAAAATTTAGACAAGTAGCAATTTAATCTTAACTTAGGTCCATAAGTCTAAAGGGCAAACAAAATAATGGAGAAGAAAGAAGAAACATATTAATAGTCTAGAGGGGCAAGAGCCAGTGTTGTGCGATGACCAGAGGTCACTTGTACTTAACCTATAATAGCCAGACAGCCTGCTGGAAAGAGCTAGTCTGAAAAGTTAGCAGTGCTGAAGCCAGGAATTCCTGAAATGATGCTTTTTTGTTTTTAAGATTTATTTCATGTATGTAAGTGCTCTATTTGAATGTGTGGATGTGTGACAGACAGAAAAGGGCATCAGATACCATTGCAGATGGTTGTGAGCCATTTGTAGTAGCTGGGAATTGAACTCAGGACCTCTGGAAGAGCTGCCAGTGCTCTTAACCAAAGCCATCTCTCCAGCCCTGGTAAGATGCTTTATTAAAGCTAGAGAGTAGTCATCTTAATAGACTTTCATTGTACCCTTGTACCTAAATTGAAAGTGTGGCCATTTTCCTAGATGAAGGGTTAAGATGTGATTCTTCCCAGAGCCACACAAGACCAGCTCCACCCAGATCATCAGACTCAGTTCACATTGTGTTTTTCTCTTGTTGAAGTCACAGAAGGTAGAACATTCCACACTTCCTTGGTGCTTTCCTAGCAGGGAGCTTCACTTAGGGAGACTAGGACACTGGGTCCTTTTGAAATAAGCATACCTTAACTCTGCTGTTACTTTCTAGGGCAGCAGAGAAAGTATTATTTAGCAATAAATTGTTTTAAAATATTCTTGCTAGGTCTTCCTTTCCAGATATCCAAACACTAGTCAATTTTGCCTTCTTTAGTAAAAGGAATGCAAGATGTAGAACTGAAACTGATAGGCATAAAAACCAAACCTAATGTATCTCCAAGTTATATTTTTAAATTAAACTTAGTAATATAGCCCACCCTTTGAGAATATCTCATTTTCTGTTAGCTTTTAATTAAAAGATGGCATTTATTTTCCCAAATTTTCTAACACTAACAGAATTTCTTTTCCACCAAGTGCATTTCTGACAAATGCTTTGGTCTAGGTGCTTCTTATTTTATGTCTAAACTCCCATTTACCAGCACTGGAATTCACTTCAAATACTTTTGCATAATTGTTTCATCTATTACAAGTAAATAGTCCCAGTAATCCTTTGCTTTGGATGAGTGCAGTGCACTGAGTCCAATGTACTGGTTGACATGAACTCCCTCTCTCAGTAACAGCTCACTTAATCTTTGCTTTTCAAAAACATATTATTTGCATCATTCATGTAAGAAAGAAAGCTACTTGGGCTACCATCAGTTTCAAGTCCTTAGGTCATATGGGAACTGACTTTTAATATAATACTAAGGGATTCGTGTATGAGAGTATACAAGTTTCATACCTCTTCTCATACCTGGGGCTGATATGTTTTAAAACTTTGGTATAGTGACCTGCCTTCTATTTTCCACTGTCCCCTACCCTGCAAAGGACACCTTTAAGAGCTGCTCATCAGTGAAGTGCAGGTGACATTTTACTGCTTACACATTTGTTGGCAGGTGCTGCCAACTCTCCCTAGGCAAAGTCAGTACAGATGAAAGGTTCTCACCTATGCTTAGGACATTCATACTATAACTGGCTAATTCATTTGCTTGTTACATTATGCACTGATAAATTGAAATGGGCAATTAGAAGAAACAATGGGCTTTTCTTAAGGGCCTTCCCTTGACACTTGAGTTTTGAAAGCATGATCCTTTCTCCTTTTCAGCAGGTGACTTTTTGGCAGGGAGGTAATTTTTTGTTTGTTTGTTTGGTGGTTTGGGTTGGTTTGGTTTGGTTTGGTTTTTCAAGATAGTTTCTCTGGCTCTAGCTGTCTTGGAACTTACTCCATGGTCCAGGCTGGCCTCAACTCAGAGACTTATTCACCTGTCTTTGGAGTGCTGAGGAAAGTGCCTGTGGCCATTGCCCAGCTTCCAGTGACTTGTAATAGATTCTTTCTTTGAAGAACCAGAGATGGGTGAGGTATTATTGGCTTTCTTCGAGTTTTCTGATTGTTTTTCCTCCCGCTGATTTAATAAAGAGGTTAGGAAAGATCTTGAACTTTGCTTTGTCTCCGAGTTTTTAACTTTTTTCTTCAAAGTCTGAAAATTTATTTGTTACTCTTAAAAACTTACTTCTGACTGGATCAGACTTAGAAACTCTCTGCAAGGACAGCCTGTGTCTCTTGCCAATCTGTTCCTGGTGTTTTCTTTAGCTTCCTTCATTCTCAGGGCCAGAAGTTTAGCATATTCTGCAGTCTCCTCCTGGTTTTTCTTAGCACACTGTTTCTTCAGAGCAGTGCAACAGTGTTTGTATTGCAGGACAAATAAGAGTAACAAGATGTTGAATCTAGGGTGCTTTGGTTCTAGGCTTCTGGCCTTCTTTGTTTAGAGCTGTATGACAACATTTTGACAGACATCATCTTCTTTAGAGAGATTGAAAAGCTTTCAGGTTCTGCTAGTTCTTTTGTTCCCCATGCACCCAGACACATTAGTTCTACAGACCAGGAATATCCTTCTCTCCTTTTTTAAAGTAACCACATTGAGAACACTAAGATTGGCATCCACAGAGCATCCATGAACAGAGTTGTGCTTCCCCTCTCCAGTCCTCCTTGGTCTATGACAAACAAGAATGCCCTTACTCAGCAGCCGGTACGCTCTGACATGGGCCAAGACACTTTGCTTCGTCAGAGGAGAACTTTGTCATTGCCACCACTGATTCAGACCACATAACCCTTCCACTCTTCACCAGAGCATCAGCAGCTACTTCTGTGACCGTGTGCTTCTAGAGAGTATGAAGCTTGCGTTCATCATCCGCTTCAGTGAGTTTCTGATGGCCAGTGCCTAGGAAGGAGATTTCTGCTTCATCTTGACAACTGCTGCTGCCCAAGTTTTGATCTGGTTCTTTCCTCATCTCAGATGCCCAGATGAGATTGTTTGCAAAACTCTCCTGGCAGTGGGGGGAGAGGAGGCCATCTATTTCAGCTGTTCTGGTTCTTACAGTCTTTCTTTGCTATCTTCTGAATGCTCCCTGACCCTTAGGTGTAGAAGTTGTGGTGTAGTTGTAGCATTTGGGACTGGGCTCTGCAACTCTGTATTTTGATCAGTTGTGGCTTTTTGTAATGATCTCCATCTATTGCATAGAGATATTTCCTTGATAAGAGGTAAGAACTACACTTATCTGTGGGAATAGGGACAAATAATTAGAATATAGTTAGAAATATAGTGGTTTAGCAAAGTGGTGATTGTAGGTTTTCTTCAAGATCCATGACTTTACTAGCTGTGGGTAGTGGACAAGGTTTCCATTACCAAGCATGGTGTTCCTCTTGTTGAGTAGGTCTTATATCCAAGTAGAGAACTGTTTGGGGCATGTTTGTCAAATATTCCATGGCCAGAGTTATATGTCCTCATGTCAGTGTCTTCTGTTTTGTTCCATTGGTCTGTGTGTCTGCTTTTGTGTCAGTACCATACAGTTTTTATTACAGTGGCTCTGTGATGTATCTTGAGGTCTGGGAATGGTAATCCTTCCAGCACCGTTCTTTTTGCTCAGGATTATTTGTGCTGTCCTTGGTCTTTTCTGGTTCTTTGTTTATAATTCTATAATCAGTAGTCAGGGAAGAGCACGTGTGCCCTAAAGTCATTTTGTACGTGACGAGAGCATTCAGGGACACCAGGCATGATTGATAATACATTTCAAAGTCCCCTGGGAAAAATCATAGTTAGACATACACACCTATAAAGAAACGGTATAATTCAAACAAACTTCTGCATGTCTCTCACACTAGTATAAAATTGTTATTTATATTTTATACCAGCTTGATTGCTACTATAAAATGAAACAAATACTCAAAATGTGACTTATAAAGTTGCCTTATAAATACTGATATTGCAGTCATAATATATATATATATATTGAGAAAACAAGGTAAACTAGAAAATCTTATAGAATATTTGTCTCACTTGTAAAGCTTGATTGCATTTTAAGGCACTTGAATAGCCTCTGTTCCATTCTAGATATGCATTACCAACAATCTGAGGGCATGAACAGTTCAGTTTTACTATACTTTTGTGGTTTCTAAGTCTGATAATACAGCCTGCTGTGGAGAGGGATAGAATGTCTTCATCAAAAGTGATATTTCATCTTCGGTATTTTTTACATAATAATATGTTGAGCCATTCTTAACTAATATATTAAAATATTTTGCATAGTTCCCTGAAGACCCTGAGTTATCAGATGTTATGTTTATAGTATTGTTTTTGAAGTTGGAAACAATAAGTCTGTTGGGTTTTGATCTATTTAGTCACATTTAGGTCTAAAAGAATACTCATTTTCACTTTTATAAGACATTGGCTGTGCTGTATATTTACTTTTATAGCAAGAGTGTGACAAAGAGAAAGGTGGACGAGGTGTATACTTAACTGAGTTTCTTGACTCCTCCATTTTGGGTATTGACAAGTATGCTGGCCAGTTGTGGGGGTGAGGGGGTACTTCGTAGAGCATCACACCCTGGAGCCAGAGTCATCCTTGAGAGACTTCCAGACATTGTTTTGTTTTCTTCACTAGCATGAGAATAAAGCTTTTCTCATGTTGTTTCCTTCAAGAACTAGTAGATACTAATGTTTATAAGTATTCAACTAGAATTGTATAAATTATTGCACAGCTCCCATGTGAAAAGACAATATAATAGGACAATTTAAGCTTTCCTGCAGTGGAAAAGTCCCTACCTGTCACAGGTAGTCTCATTAACAGTTGTAAGCCTTTGATTAGGAACTGTGTTAAGGTACTCCTGTTCACTTCCTATGGAATTTGGTATTTTTGACTAGTTAAATGGGAAAGTTAATCTACCTTTACAGTAAATATTCAGGGAGTCTCTCAACCAAATTTACCAGGGTCACATTTTATAACCTAAAAACTAAACTAATATGTATCCATATTAGCATGTCTTTAGTCCCACACTCAGGAGACAGAGGCCTGTGGATCAAAGCCAGTGCTTTGGGAAACTCTGTCTAAAAGAAATAAAATTTAATTTAAAGAAATAATATTTAATTTTTTAAAAAAAGACAAAAGAAAAGGGGTGAACCTCAAATTGTAGTCTAATAAAGTTAATTCCAAAGCAAACATCATCAGTCATTAATAATTGTTTTTAAAAACCTATCTGGTATCCTTCTAAGGAAAGAGGCATAACTTGTTGAAATTAGTAAGAGAGTTGTGGCAACCTAACAGGCACACATTTTTAAACTATACCCTAAGTTTAGTGCTAAACAGTAATTGAATACTTACATATATATCATTATACAATAATTCCTGTTCTAGGCATGAGAACACTTTTTATTTAGAACTTACAGATCTCAGATTTTCCAACAATTAGGGCAAGAGAAGGCTCCAGGATGTAGGGGAACCTTTAGCCAGCTCCTAAGCAGCCGTGGCTACAGGTTCCCCTACACCAGGATAGTAATTTGCTTTGAAAGTCTAAGGCATTGGTAGTGAAAGCCAAGGATGGACTGTATGCGACCTCAGGCAGTCATCTCTGGACTTGTTCTGAAATGACTCACACACTTGCTTAGGAACTCCACTGTAGTTGAGAGCAGCCTTTTGGGGGAGTTAGATTGTGTCTGTGACAAGCTTGAAGAACTAAGCTGTGACAGCAGCTTTCTCATTTTTTTGCCTCCCTTTGTGCCTTGGGCCCTGGAGGAAGGTGTGCAGTGTGAGCTGTCAGTGAGATCTTAGTTAAACCATTCTTAAAATTCTCATTTTTTTCTCTTATAAATCATAGATGTTCAGGGTTTTTTTTTTTTTTTTTTTTTTTTTGCGCACATATCAAATAACTTTAAAAGTGAAAAGTGAGGACCAGTGAGATGGCTCACCAGATAAGGAAACTTGCTGCCAAACCTGACAGGCAGGAAGAAGAGAACTGCCTCTCACAAGTTGTCTTCAGACCCATCTTGTAGTAAGAATACACACACACAAAGTAAGGCATATTTTAAGTGTAATGTGTGCATTTCTAGATTAGTATTCAGTGCAAAAATTGAGAATTCAGATTTTCTAAGAACACACCCAATGATTTTCATTTGCAATACTAGAAGCTTGAGTTACTTCACATTCATATTTCTAAATTATGGCTTTTAAACTTAATATTGGAGCAACAAGTATTTGTTGATTGCAATCCTCTTTTGCTTTGTCTGAGCTGTTTGCCAGGTGGTTTCTGACATGGTTGTGCTCATTAAAATAAACTGCCTAATACTGCTTGCTTCCACTCATGCTGTTGCATGAAAAGCTTCATTTTATGGCATTCGTTAACCATCAACTCTTCTTTACCCTATTTTCTTAACATTTGTCTTCCACTTTCTGTCCCTCAGCTAGACTTGAACTCATATTTGGTGAAACTATTATAGTGATGTCATGGTTTATAGACACATACACTGGGTGGTTCCTCAGATTCATAAATGTTGCTGATCCCAAAAGAGAGTTCCAGGCACTTTTATAGTGTATGTCATCTGTGCTAATTTTAGAATAAGGGCGTTGAATGAAATGTGCCTAAAATTGCTCATTAGTCATACTAGTAGTATCCTTTTTGTTTGGGGGACACAGATAGTTAAAAGAATTCTTGAAAGGGTCTGATTCAATAAATGCAGTTTGTTTTACTTTGTAATGGAAAGTTGGGACATTTCAAAATAAATTGAATTTTGAAGTAAATTTGAATTCAGAGTATGGAAGGAATTTTAAAACAGTATAAAATGGGAAAAGTTATGAGCTATACTTTTAAGAGTGACTATACATTTGAGTTTTATATTCACTACTTGTATTACTTCACTAAACATTCTTAATTCTATTCAAAGTCCATTTGGTTTAAATGTGAAACAATAATGAGAGTGCATGGATTAAGATGCTAAATGATACTGATTTGTTTTAGATACTTTTTCTATCCAAGATGGTGAAGTGTGAAAATGTAAATGATTTCTCTGCTCATCATAACAGAACTGTTAGAGCATGTGTCCTGAGTGCTTCCTGCTAGTTGCAGAATTATATGCTACAGCTTTCAGGGTCAAAGGAGTTGTGAATATTGTACCAGCTGTTTCTTGGAGTATTTTGGTGTTTCCTTTTTAACAGCTGACCTCTCATGTTAAAAGATACTGTATAAACAACCTACTCCCAAGTAAAGGTGCTGAGTGAAGCTGTTGTTTAAGTCAATCTGTTTACTGAAGACTTGTTTATGGAATTCTTTTTTTATTGAGTTAAAAAGTGTTGCTAATATAGATGTTTCTAAAGCAGGGTGTTCATAATAGCCCATCTCAATAAGCTGTATATATTTATTTGAGCATAGAATGAACCTTGTTCATCTCCAAGAGGAAACTTAGCTGCTACCCACTAGTGATGAATTACTGCATTCTGACAAAGACTAATGGAAGTAAATGTGACTGTAGCAATAATTTAAGCCTAAGCATCCTCTTAGGCACTGCTGCCAGCCAAAGCCAGACATGTCTTACAACCTGCTAGCTGTCTTGCTGTGAAAACTGTAACGTAAGGGCCTTGAAATAGATGCCGTCATCAGCCCCAACCCCCAAGCATTCATCTATTTAAACACATGACAGAAGATGGTGGAAGACAGTTCAGCTGCTGTTTGCTGTTTTTGCGGTAGGAGTGTCATTGTATTAGGACATACCCCTTTGTGGGCCAGCAATCTTTGAGTTGATATACTACAGCTCTCTCTCTGTCTCTTTCTCAATTTTGGGATTGGTTTGTTTTTACGATAAACTTACTCATTCTTTTTCCTGCAAATGTGTTACATAGATCCCAGGAGCAGGAGATTTCACTTCCTCTGCCGCAGTTCCACCCTTCTCACTTGTGTGAATAGATTGCAGTTTCACTTGTTTGTTGTTGTTTTGTTTTAAGGCAACGGGCAACCAAGGCGTAGATCCATCCAAGACTTGACTGTTACTGGGACAGAACCTGGTCAGGTAAGACTTAACATTCAAGTTATCTGTCTGTGGAGAACTATGATAGGCAGAGCTCAAGAATGAACCATAATATCCTCTGCAAAAGTAGCTGACCTGAAATTGTGATCAAGAAGTTTATTGCTACTGAGTGTCAGTCCATAAGGAAGATGGAAAAGCACTGAATTCCTAGTTCACTTTGAACTGTATGAGAAAGCCTGTTGTCCAGCAGTGCATCATGGGTTCTCATGTTTGAAGAAAATACTTTGTTCTGGAACTTAATAATGCACCTTTATCATTGTTCTCTAAAGTGAATAATTAGTATTAATGCTTCTTACTAATGATAGGAATAAATACCTCCCTAATATGCTAGTCCTGGGGCCACTTGGAGAGTGTTAATATCTTTTAATTTGATATATCCACTGCCTTCATATTTTCATTAATATCCTTTGAAAGTATATACTAAGCAGATGGCTAAACTCAAGGAAGCTTGTATTCTAGTCATTACAGATTTTATTGCTTGTGTTTTCAATGCTCTTCTGAACTCGCCCATCTCTTTATCATAGCTTCTTTGTAAATAGTCCAGATAATGCTGTGATTTAAGCCATATTGACTCTACTATAGAATTCTAATTAATTGGGTATAAAAAAGTAGTTTAGTAATTAAGGTTTTTTTCTGTTACTCAAATTAATACATTTGACATACATTCTTACTATATTTTCTAAAATGAATGAGGACTAAGTATGAGGTATTTTGTTTTGTTTTCATGTGAGAATACTATTCATATGAAGTAATAAAATTATTGTACATGGTTCATGTATACATGTAAAATATCAGTATAATTTACTTTAAGGAAATATACATTAATACTTTTCATCATAGAAAGTTTTATTATTTCATTTTTGTAAGAATGAATGGTTGTGGTTTTTTTGTAGATTTTATAAAAGAATGTTTTCTAGCTCTCTATTTAACTTAAAAATATCTTGACAGGCTGGAAATGGTGTTACACACGTTTAATCCCAGTACCTGAGAGGCAGAGGCAGGTGCATGTCTGTGAGTTTGAGGCCAGCCTGGTCTACATAGTGAGTTCCAGTACAGTCAAAGAGCAACCCTGTCTCAAAAAGAAAAGGAAAAAAAAAAAAAAGATTCTTAATAAAGATTAGTATCTTTGACTTTATTTAAATCTGGTAATATTTTATAACAATTCTTACTGCATATACATATAATCTTCAAATATAGAAATAAGGACACATAAGTTATTATATATTTTAGCATCATTAATGTAAACCTTTCTCACTCATTCAGTAGTGATTTTTTTTTCCAGTGTATTGATTTTTATGATGCCCCAGAACTTTTGTTTCCCTCACTGACATTTAAAGGGTTTGGTCAGCCTATTTAACATCCCGCATTTGCTTTGAGTCCGTTGTCTTGATGAGCACAGCTTTTAAACTGTTTATTATTGTCATCAGTACTCCAGTTATTTGAACCCTAACCCAGTGCTCTCTGACACCAAGCCCTTACTCTAAGACACAGAGTAGCTGCTGATATGAGAGCTTCTCTCAACACTCCCAATACCAAGCTTTGCTAATCTCTCCACTAGTCATACTTAGCTTCGTTAGACCTGTGGCCAAAAACCTTTAATGTATGAAGCTTTCAAGTAGTAAAACCTAGGGACTAAGGCAGACTGTGGCTGAGAGACAGTCACTGGCATGAATTGTCATATACCATTTGAGAAGATACGGAGGAAGAGGAAGTTTGATTTGTTAGTAACACTGCTCTAAAATAGTTGGTATTTTAAATTCATCCACTTTATCAACTACCAAAGTATTATAACCTTACTGTACCTTATGTCTACTTGGGATAAGAGTAACAGGAAAGTGACTACATGACCATTGGGTTGAATTCAATATGTGTGAGGGAGCATGCCCACAGCATGGGTTTCCATAACTTGATAATGTGTTTCTTTCCAAAATTGATGAAGTGATTGGCAGGTATGCAGGGGGTGAGGAATAGGAGCTTCTGCTTTAGTTTTATTTTGAAGTTTGTTTTTAGACATTGAAATTGGTAAAGATCTTCCTTCATGTTTTCAGCACCCTGTTAAGAAGAGGTCTTGAATGCAAGTCTGATTCAATGGCACACTGTAAACTTTATCATTCTGTCTTGCATTACAGGAGTAGGGAGGTAGCTTAGTTGGCAGAGTGCTTGCCTAGTATGTATAATATCCTGAACTTTATCCTTAGCATGTGGAGAACTAGATATGGTGATAGATACCTGTAAGCTAGCACTTGGGGGTGGAAATATCAGGAGGATCAGACATTCAAAGTCATCATTCTGCTACATAATGAATTTGAGACCAACTCTGTCTCAAACAAAACAAAACAAAATAACCAAAAAAAAAAAAAAATGATATGTAATTTGTGCTGAAATGATCCTGGTGAATTCTGTGTTGTAGTTTGTCATTATCTGTAACTTAATTATTTAAGTAGCTTTTCAGTAATGATGAGCTTTAAAACACCATGTCATTGAGCAAGACTAACCCATAATAAATACTATAACAGTAAGTCTAGACAGGTAACTGGACACATTTACTTTTTAAACATTTAGGTGAACCTTCCTATTCACTAAAATGATGTACTATAAAGTCGATCCACATAGCCCTTTTGGGATTCCATCCAGTATACATCTCCCATTCCACAGTGATACAGTTACCATTATCTAGAGAATTAGACACGATATGAACCCAGCATGCTTCTTAATTGTCCTGAGCATCAGCAACCTTTGTGCAACTAGGTACTGCAACACCCACTATATAGGGTTCCTATGGAATATGAGAGGACAGACACATAGTAGACACTGATCCGTGTTGCAGACCTTCCTCCATACAGGGCTCTTGGTAATACTTCGTTGTCCTCATTACATATGAAATGAAAATAGCACTGGGGAATCAGTTAAATCTCGAATTCTGTTATTTCTATGTCAGGGGAAAAGGGGGGTAGGGGTCAGTGGATAAAAGCTCCTGATGTCCTTGTAAGTTCAAGGCTAGTGTGTACTATGTAGAAGTGCTGTCTCACAAAACAAAAAGCTGTAATGGTGCAAGATGCAGACTGAAATTGTATGCATTTGGATTCAAGAGTATTTCAGTACTGTTCTGAGTACCTGGGACTGCCTTAGAGAAGGGAGTACCTATCTAGAAGAGCAGTAAGTGCTCCTAACCACATCTTTCTAGTAAATTGGATTTGTCTCTTAAGAATCATATTTAATTCATCCTGACAATTTGATTGGAGTCTTATTTTTTTCACTTATGCGTTTGTCTGTTTTTGTGTGCATGCATATGTATGCTATGAGTCCCCAAAATGGCCACAGTAGGATATCAGATCCCCTGGGGCTGGAGTTGTGTCCTCTGTCTGGAAGACAGGAACCACTTAACCTCCAAGCTGTCTCTCCTGTGCATAGGAGTTTTCTTTGTTTCATTTTGAGCTTTAATATTGTAGTTTATTTTGTTTTTTTATCTTATTTGAAACTCCTCTTTTATCTTCTTGCCCTTTTTGAAGTTGAATAGGTCCATTTCTTGTTTTTCATTATTACATTTGTCTTTCTGGGTTAAGAGTTAATTCTTACTACTTTTAGTGAGTACCTTTGAGATTTTAACATGTGTATCCAGCCTGCTTAACACCTCTGCTGTTTCTGAACAGCACAGGCATTTTAACAACAAGTTATTATTTATTGGGGTATTATTACTTATAGATTATTTTGCTATGTTGTTTGGTAGTTATTTAAATTGATTACTGTTTCCTTCACTTAAGTTTTCAGTTAATATTTTCTATCTCAAAATTTTCTTCAAGTTAATTGCATCCTGGCCCTTTTGTTAAGGAAAAATTTCTTGTTAAGTAGAGTTCCTGTTTAGAAATTGCTATCATAAGAGTCTGGATGATAAATTCAGCTTCTGTCATCTACAGATGCTGTTCTGATCACATTTCATTGCTGTTAGCAATTTTCTGTCAGCATTCTATGACTAGGAATCCACTTCTCTGGCTTCTTTTGTGTATCTTGTGAATGTGCTTTGAATATTTTTTTCTCAAATGCATGAAACCAGTTGTGTTCCCAATTGAGGGGTTTTGTTTTCAGATTTTAAAATACTTGAATGTATCTGATGGGACATCTTGGTAAAGAGGCCCAGGTCTGAATTTGTCATCCATTTGTTTTCCCTGTGCAGTATGTATAGCCAGCAGGTAATTTTTTATGATGGTTTCAGTGTACCTGTGTTCTGACTGTGCCTGTCACATGAGGTGTTAGATTGGTAGTGTTTCTACTTGTGGCATGCTGTGAGCACCCAGTTTCAGGTTTCAAGTCATTTCTCATTTCAGATCTGTTGAGCTAGGAAAGCCTCTCCTAGCTGTCCTTTCTTCTGGAGGCTGCTTCTTTTTTCTGTTTCTGTTTTTCTATTCTTTGGAATTTGACTGTGTGTGACCATGGCTTGTCTCAGTTCTTATACTTTCCCTGTACTTGTGCTCGATTCTGTCTTCCATTGATTCTGGAAATGGTCAGGATGCACAGTGGCCACCCTTCCTCCCTTCATTTAGAGTTCCTGAAGAAGGGATTTTCATGATCTTCCTGCCTCTGCCTCCCAAGTGCTAGTTATGGGTGTTTCCCACCTGCCTTTATCAGAGGATTTTGTAGTTTTGCTAGTTTTCTGTTTCCTAGAGAACAAAGCATTCCCTGGGCCTCAGCTTTATGCAGAGCTTTCTCCAGGTGCTTTCATGATACAAGGATGTATTTCTAGTTCCTTCCTAGGCCTTATTACCCATTCCTATCAACACAACAGACAATCCAGGGCTAATATTTTGTTTTCAAGAGTCTCAGGGCCTCTACTAATAAAAATAAAAATCTTTACTAAAAAATGAAAATGTGTCTTGTCATTCTTAAAAAAAAAAAAAATGACCCTTTTTCCTCCTTACATTCCTTCCTACAGGTGAGCAGTAGGTCGTCCAGTCCTAGTGTCAGAATGATCACTACCTCAGGAGCGACCTCGGAGAAGCCAGCTCGCAGTCATCCATGGACTCCTGATGATTCCACAGGTGACCAGATTAGTTTCTCATTGTAATGTCAAACTGAGTGAACTTAGAGGCATTATTCTGTACAAAAACAAGCATGGTATAATTTTTACATTTTCATGTTTATAAAATCAACTATTTTGGTAATAACTTTTAATATGCCCTTTAGGGTGTTGTGGCAGAAGCCAACAGCCTTACCCTGTGTATATTTTTCTCCCAAATACTAAACATGTATGTTGGAAATAGATTTTTCCAGACAGGAAACATGTGTTCTTGTACTTCACTCTCTGATTTTTGTGTTTTGATCCTTCCTGTTGGATCTTTTCAGTAATTACAATTCCTACAGTGGTAAAAAATAACCAGCATCATCTTCATCTCCATTTCTACTCTTTATTGTATATTATTTGGTATTTCATACATGAATTCAGTGTATTTAGAGCATATCCATCCCCTACTCCAACTCCTCCCAAACTCCATCTCAATTTTTGTGTTTAATTTCCATTGTGTATTCCTTGTGCATGATTCTGTGTTATGTAAGGACATTTTCACAGAAGTATACAATGCATACTGAACATTCCTCTGTACCCCCATACCCTCTCTTTTTTCACCTATCCTTCTTGCTAGTCCTCTTTGTTTCTCTTCTACTTCCATGTCATGTACCAGTCACAAATGAGAGAAAGCATAAGACACTTTTCTAAGACTAGTTTAATTTGTTTCCAGTTGCCTCCATTTTCCTACAAAAGACATATTGAACACTATTGTGTATACATACCACATTCTCTTTCTCCTCTGTTGTTGGATATCCCCCATGGTTCTGTAACTCAGCCCTTGTGGATAGTGCTGCAGTAAACATTGATGTGTAAGTATTGCTGGAATGTGTTGAACTTGAGTCCTTTGGGTAAATGCCCAGGAATGTATATCTGGGTTGTGTGGTAGATGTTTGTTTAATGCTTTGAGGAACTTCTGTATTGATTTTATGATAGCTGGACAAGTTTACATTTCTTTTTTTTTTTTTTAATTTTATTAGTTCAAATTAGGAACAAGCTTGCTTCAGACGTCAATCCCTTCTCCCTCTCTCACCCCTCCCCTCCAACATCCCACCTGCCCCTAGACATCCCCCCTCTACTCCTCAGGCAGGGTAAGGCCCTCAAAAGGGGCCAAGCCTAGGCCCTTCCCCATGTGTCCAGATCAAGAGAGCATCCCTTCATATGGGATGGGCTCTCAAAATCCCTTCTTTTCCTTTTTTTTTTTTTTTTAAAGACCTTACATATTTAATACAGTGTGTTACCCCTGTACAAATGGAAAAAAATTAAGTTCAACATTTCTAGAGCAATATGGCTGTTAGTTTTTGTACAATGCCAACTGAACGAGGTAAACTGGGATACTTTTTTCCAAAGTTGACAGCACAGCTAAAGTTTCCAAAAAAAGTTTACATTTCTACCAGCAATGTATATAAGGTGCCATTCTAGCAGGTGAGATGAGATTCTACTTAAGTTTTTATTTGCTTTTTTTCCCCCAGTGACTAGTGAGAGCGAACATTTTTCAGTTTTTTTCCACTGGAATATCTTTTATGCATGTACACAGTGCATCTTGAACACACCCACCCCCAGTACCATTATCCTACTTTGAACCCACTTCCCAACATATGCCCCTTCCACCTCCATGTCTTCTTTTTTATGACCCACTGAATCCAATTAATACTCTGTGAATACCCATGGGTTTGGTTCATCCACCAAGCATGGACAACTTAGCAACGGCCACACAGCCAAGAAAAA